GAGTGTTGTTGTTGATGATGATGATGGTAGTGTTGGTTTTGAAGATAAAAGTGATGTTGAAGATGTAAGTGGTGATGAAGTTGATGTTGGTGGTGATGATGGTGGTGATAATGATGATGGGTGAGTCGATGATAATGRTTGCAAATATTGTGGTATCAATGAMTGTTTTTCATATACTGATGGAGGAAGCAAAGTTGACTCAGATACTGTAGAACCATACTGTGACGTTTGCTCTACAGAATAACATGGGTATGAAGATGATTGAGAAGATGTTATAGAATTTTGAACTTCAACAATAGATGAAGAAGAAGAAGTTGACTCAGATATAAGAAATGATGAAGAAGATGGTGTTACTCTAGAGTCATACTGTGATGTAGGCTCTACTGGATCACATGGATCATCAGACATCYGTTTTGAATCTAATGATAAGCAAGAAGCTACAAGTGTATTAGATGATGATGATAATGATGATGATGATAAATACTTGTGTGTGTCAACAGGGGTTGGAGTTCCAGGTGGTGTTAAAAACTCCTGGACTGAGGAACAAGAGGAGCCTGGTGATAAGTCACTAGTTAAGTTATTAGGTAAGGAAAAATCACAATAATCCAGTGAAGGGAATTTGAATACTTGAGAAGGAAGAGAGGAATCGGATGAGGAAAGTGATGAAGATAATGATAGTCTATTTGATGAAAATGATTGAGGAGGAGTTATTGGTGGTGAACATGGCGAAGGAAAGGAAATTGACTGAACTGGAGGGGAGTCAAGAGGAAATGTTGTTAAGATAGAAAATTTCTGATTTTTGAAAGACTGCAGATGAGGAGAGGATGCTGAAAGTGATGACTGAGATGGAAATGAAGATAATGCTTGAACTGATTTAGAAGATGATTCGAAATCAGGTTGTAAGTGGCAAGATGGATTTTCAATATTYAGTGATACATGATTTTGTTTTAATGGTTCAATGGTTCTCACACGAGATCTAGGTGGAGCAACACCTATAGTTTTGTGTGGAACTGTAAAAAAAGGAGAAAAAAACAGCATTTTATAGAAATTCCTAAAGGACAATTATTAATATTTAACATTCTTTTAGATTATWTAAGCCATTTAATTATCTCATATATTTAGCATTCACCTGAATAATTTTGATATCATGCATTTTTGTCTTTYGTATTTCTTTCATGCTTTAGATTCTGATGTTTTACGATTTTATTTTTAGAAATTWAAAACATATTTGATTTCAATGTCAAATCAGACTTTATACTTTTGAGAAAAAAACAATGAAAARTCATCATAAATATGGGCTATAGTGAACAATCTAGACCATAAATAATAGAGTGGTTGGTAAGCTGTCTGCAGCCCAGTGTCATTATTTTAGCAATGGYTTACCATTATCTTACCCTCATCTTACCGACTATTTACTAAACGCTTACTGTTACCTTACCAGCACATTTTATCATCAGCTACTGTACCAATCCCTTATTGACAGTTTTCCAACCATTACCAACCACTTAACAACAGTTTACCAGCCACTGACCGACAGTTTACCAGCTACTGACCAACAGTTTACCAGCCACTGACCGACAGTTTACCAGCTACTGACCAACAGTTTACCAGCCACTGACCCACAGTTTACCAGTTACTTACCAACAGTTTACCAGCCACTGACCCACAGTTTACCAGCCACTGACCCACATTTTACCAGCCACTGACTGACAGTTTACCAGCCACTGACTGACAGTTTACCAGTTACTGACTGACAGTTTACCAGCCACTGATTGACAGTTTACCAGCCACTGACAAACAGTTTACCAGCCACTGACCCACATTTTACCAGTTACTGACTGACAGTTTACCAGTTACTGACCCACAGTTTACCAGCCACTGACCCACAGTTTACCAGCCACTGACCCACAGTTTACCAGCCACTGACCAACAGTTTACCAGCCACTGACTGACAGTTTACCAGCCACTGACCGACAGTTAAGCAACCATTACCAACCACTTACCTACCACTATTTCATGATCCAGATTGTTCATTATAGCCTAAATAATGATAGAGATGGACTCCCTTTAAATCATCAACAAATATGGCACACTCACCTGATCCACCTCCAGGTTGTGCCTAATATAAGGAAAGAAAAAAAGAGAAACATAGAATTAAAAGAACAGACAAAAATTCCTCAAATGTTTGAATGACACAACACATACTTCTCTTTTCTTTAGTTCTTCAATCTCGTTTTCCAAGCTCTTGATCTTCTCAGCAGAATTWGTTGTGGCTAAATTGAGTTTTGCCTCACATTCTTGTCTCATTGTAGTCTCTATTTCTAACTGAAAACAAAACAGCATACAACATTTAATTGCTATGCAAAGATAAATCACAGCATACTAAATGTACAATGTCTTTGCAATATATTGTAAAACTAGTGATTACCACCATTACCACTGTGGCATCTCTACATAAAAAACTGTTTTGGGTTTATACCTTTGTTTCTAATTGTGATGATTTATCTGTTGCTTCTTCATATTTTGCTTTATCAACGAGGCCCTCTGTTTCACATGACCAAGTAAAATGTAGAATATAATTAAAATTAGTACAATTACAATATTAAGTGTTATAATTAATATACCTGTATTTCCTTTACCAGGGAAATGATAGTCAATTCAGGGAAGTTGGAAGTGATCCATGGAAGTAGGGAAATTGTAATAAAGGCAGGTATCTTACACTTTGAAAGGCTTTTATTTTTCTTGCTCATGCTAAAGATGCATATATTAAAATCATTCATCATCCTTACATTAACATCACTCGCACACACTGCTCTCTAACTAACAATGCCTTAAGGGCCTACAATAACACAAATTTTAGAACCATGGGTTTACATCCCTCTGGGGGAAAACCATAGAGTATCTTCCTTTGTTTTCCCTACATGTTGTCRTTGTTGTCCATGCAAACAATTTGATTACAAATCAATCACTTTGATGAATAATCAATAGAAACAGAGATGAACAATCAAAGGAAACCTGCCTTTATTACAGAATGAAGATAATTCTTGATGCTTATTCATTAAGTTGTACAGCAGACACACACTTGGTTCCTTGTAGCTTCTTARACTTACCTATCAATGGTTCAACATCTATTTGAAATCTTCTTGTAGCAAAATCTGGATCTACTCCACTGCGATGGAGTACAATCTGAGATACACATTCYTCTATCAACTTGTAGTACTGAGGCCTTGAATAAAAAACATTATAAGGTTTACCAGAAGAAAAAAAAAAAGAGATATACATCAGGGAAAGAAAGTTTTCCTTACCTTGCATATACATCATCTCTTATTAACAAGAAATGTTGTAGGATAGAAAGCAACAAATGGTCTGCTGGGGTGTCTTGTACGAGGTTATTCACTATTTGGAATATTTCAACTGTGTCTCTGTGAAAACTGTCAAGAAATATTCCGATAACAACCTTGGCTTTACTTACTCAATTCAACTGCAAACTACATACCAGAAATAATCAATAATGTCTAAATATCTAAAAAGGATACTCAAAGTTTATAGTAATATCTTTCCATCTGTGTTGAAATTCAACAGCATCATCTTCTTTGTGATCTTCAAAGATATCTAGTTGCAYATTTAAGTCATCATTATCAAGGTCCCTCAAATCCTTCAAGAAAMAAAAACACACAGACACATTAGTCATTTAGTCATCTTAATTATTGCCTGACATACTTAATAAACCAGCAAWCTAAGGCTAGCTATGGTTTTATGGTTATAAAAATGATAGTATTTATTTACTAGTTTTCATGCCTACAGTACCTGTATAGCATCATTGAGTCCTTCTCTGATAAATTCATTTCTGAGATGCAACCTAAAGTCCAGATCTTCAGGAGTACTGACTAGAGCATTGATTAACTGGATGCATGCAACCTGATAAACAAACAAATGGATAAAATAATGATAAAATTATGGATATAAAACTAAGAGAGAAATACAGTAGTACCTTTCCAAGTAATAATATGCACCATCAACAAACCTTATTACAGGTGTTTTTGGGACAGTTTAAGTTTATGATTTTTTTTTCAATTTCTTTAAAAAAATGCAGAAAAGTCCCATAAAAAATTACTGTTGCAAAGTAATTTAATATAAGGATGCAAAAATGAAGTGATAACCAAATATTAAGAAAATARTGTATTAAATAGACCACCGAGAAGGACGGATACAGACATTGTTACTAAGAACCAGTATTGAAGCCTATTGACCAAGATCAACACTGTTGGTACAATTACAATTTATCCATATTTCTATCTTTGGAATAGTTTTCCACATCACAAATTATACCTTAAGTGCAGTGTGGTCATCATGCAGAGCTTCTACTATCTTACTAAACCTTCCTTTTTTCTCCATTTCACCACAAGTGGTCATTGCTTCCAATGTTCTCTCATGTCTAGAATATAGAGGTGAGTGTACAAGCAATTGAGGATCACTAGATGACAGTTGAGCACTCCCATGTCAGAATGCATATTGTACTTACTCCACTAGACACACAGCAGCAATAACCTTAACAACATCTGCCATCATACTGGGAAAGATGGGATCCATAGATCGTGCAAGTAAAGTTAGTCCATCTTTGCTTTTCATTGTTAGAGATAAGCCATACTGAGAAAATAGGCAAAASAACAAAAATTATGTTGTCTTGAACTGATAGCTTAAAAACTTATGTGGGTTTTATTTATTTATTTTGYTGATAAATAAGCATTTTGGATGTAGAATACATCAATATTCGAGTTCTCTGTTGCTCAGGGTTAGCCTTGATTTTGAGCAGAATATTCATATGTTCCTTGGCCCTAACATGCCACATAGGCATAAAGGATAATGATGATTCATGTGTTCTAGTGAAGGTCCATGGAATTTCAAGGTGTTTTTATTATCGTCAAAGTTGTTCATTTTTTACTTTATTATTGGTATTTGTGAATGTTTAGACACTGATACAAAGCTATAACCCTAAGTAATCAAGGAACACAGCAGTAATTTGAAAAATGGTCTATTCCTAGGAGATCCAACAAAAGGACACATATATAAGTATGAAAGTTCTCAGTTATTGAGAATAATTGTAAATTAAGTACAAAAATAAATAACTCTCTTAACATTGTTTATCAATGTTTACATGATGCAGGGGTGTAGCCAGAATTTTCCTAAGTGCCTCTCTCCTGCCTACACCCCTGTGTTGTGACCAAAATTTAGGGTCTTCATCGGGCACATGTTGTTATGTGATAATATTATAGGACATGAAGTCCCTTTAAAGGCCAATCTCCAATGGACAGACCAGTAGATAGTGACAAATACATGTTATTAACAAAAAAAACAAGTGTTTATTGAATACCTTATTGTTCATGAATGCCTTTAAACACCTCACACACTCATGTTGTATTCTTTTCTCAACATTACCAGTACTTGAACAGGAGTTTCTTAAATGACTTAATAAACAGTGCATTCCTGATTCACCAAACTCTTGGATCCAGCTGCATAGGGAAAAAAGTTGTGTTCCAAAAATGACATACAATAGTGTGAGTCTGTATTATGTATTCCATGTATTCAAACCCGGACCACACTGTGGTGAGAGGCAAGCGGTAAACCACTAYGCTACCCATGCCACCCATCATACTTGGCAAAATCCTTAACCCCAGTATTTTTGCAACCTTAAAGAACTGTAAAAAAATCTAAAATATTTTTAAATTAAAAATCAAAACTTGTAAAATAGTTTTCCAAGAGCATGCACTCAGGATTGATTTGATGCAGATCTCTTATTTTGCATAAGGTGAACTTTAAATCAATTGAAGCATTATAGTTAATAYTACAAATGGTTGAATCAATGTAATCATAATTATTAGAATGATAAGTTAATTATCTACCTTACCTTAATGGTCTTCCTGTTAAGGAAACACGACAGGATTGTAGTAAATTAAGTAAAGCCTCAAGATTTTCAGGAGCTTTCTGTAGTTCTYTGACATAGTCACTAGCAGATGATGGGCCTTCACTTGATTGTTGCTGTAGAAAAGCAAATAAATCATCTAAAACAAACCATCTAAATTTATTGGAATACCCATAATTGACAACTAACAGACAAATTAACACTATTCATGTGATTGATATAGGTAGGACTGAATTACCTCAGATATGAGCTGCCTTCTTTKGAAGCTTATCATCATATCCCTCTTTGTGTCCATATCTCTAGCACGAATAGGATTTCTATGAGCTTCTGATAAGTTCATGTCATCCTAGAAAAAAATATATATATATAAATATATATAAATATTTATATATTGACAGATATTACAAAGACATCCACATGATACATCTGGTAAAACATCTTGTAATAAACACTTAAAGCTGACTGTGGAGCATAGAGGGTATGTGATGCTAATTTATCAGTGTCATACATGAGTAGATTAATATTGTTTATTGATTTTCCCTGTGCTTCAAGGGTTTTTTATGTTTTCTCTGGTTCTCCTCCTTCCTAATTCAATTTTTGGGCTTTCACCTAGWATGGAKATGGGGYTCTGTTGTCCCTGTCTCACTCTGTAATTACAACCAACTGAATTWTTATTAATTTTATTGTTTTTACTATTACTAATATTATTTTGCTATTCAATTAAAGGCTACACTTCATTTACTTGAAAATTTACAAAAATGCTTTAGACAAAATAATTTTACTATGATATTTTGCTTTAGTTTAAAGATTTTGACAATCTTTATTGAGGTGGGATCTCACAATACAAACAAATAAAGTTATAACCAACAGTTAAAGGAGTCTATTTTTTGATCATAAATCTATCCAGCAGGGGGGGGGGGGGGTACTCCAATATATAGACTATATGGGRATGATCCGCTGAACAGAGTATGGTTTTTTGAGCTTCTTGTCATAAACAGGGTATACAATTTCACTCAAATTTCCAATTTTGTTTGAATTTCCTGTCATACTCAGGGTATGTATTTTATCAAACCCAGGATGGTCATAAGCGGCAAGTGAGCTCAATCACATGAAGTCTCCTCTGATTGGCTGTGAGCATTAAACCAKAGGTTTATAGGTTAGATAGCTTAACTCAATAACACAGAAAATGAGCACAATTAGTTGATAAGTCTTCTGAAGTTTCAAAAGACTTACATCATTTTCAGATTAATTTGTCACAGTTTAATAAAGGTTACATGTAATAAAAAGACAAAAAACAATATTATYTTATGTAGTTTTATTGTTGCAAATAAGGTTCAGTATGCATTTATGACTTTGCAAAACCTCTTCATATGAGGCGCCTAGTACTTGATGAATGCCCAGTATGTATGACATCGACACTTGTTTCATGCGAACAATAAAGAATAAGTACTTTAAAGCAAACCTATTTGTCATTGATGTCTAATCTAGTATTTACCGAAGTTGATTTTTACCAATTTTTACCCCCCCCCCCCCCACATGCATGACAAAGCCATAACAGCTACAAGATTAAGTCGTAAAGGTTTTCGTAGGTTGGATTCATATTATGAAACTAAAATTGACTCATCAACCTTTAAAAATAACAACAAAARACTGGACACACAATCCAATGGGATAACATTTCAATCGTTAAAAAAGAACAAAGATGGAACCAAAGAAAGTCGCTGGAAGCATGTGAGATATCAAAGCAAAAGAACATTATTTTTAATAGAGACAGTGGCAGAATTCTGCCAGCAAATTACATAAATCTTTTGTGATTTTCAATGCTCTTGCTTTCAGGTTTGTGCGCGCGATTCTTTTGCTCGCGCATATGTACAACGTTTGATCACGTAGTTTTTGTTAATATTGTAACGTATTTTAGTTCCTCTGAGGATGACCGTGTCGGTCGAAAGCTAAGGAAAATATAAAATTATTTTTAARGGTTGATGAGTCAATTTTAGTTTCATAGCTACAAGATTGTCATAAYTTATTTCCATTACATCTAATAATCAAAAGGTTTCATAGAACAGRGTTGATGATAACCACAGTATTACCGCTAAAACAAGTAAGGATATTTAGCTATAATGATTATTTTGATTGCCGAGAAAGAATAAGTATAATTAACACAACGAATCACACATTAATCCTGAACTACGTATTTTGACTGTTTAGGGAATAATGTGATCTAGCCCTGCCTCAATTAACTTAAAAAAAAATTACTTCCACTCTCTACCAATGTTTGAAGCGAGTAATAAAGGCATTTCGAAAGTTAATGGAAAGGGAAAGCTTTTGGGTAAAAAAATAATAAATGAATGTTCTGGAACAGCCTAGCCTAACATATCTATAGAAGGAGCATGATTAATCACTCAAAAAAAGGAATTTCACTAATTTCTTCGTGTAACATTTATCAATATGAAGTTAAAGAATAGTTAAAGCATAGCTGAAAATAGTTAGATCGAAACTAATAAATTTAACCAAATAGAACTATGACTAGGATTTTACAACTAGAAAACGTTTTAAAAGCTTGTTATGGTTAAATGCAGCGGTAATGTTACTAATACAGTATCAAACTCCCATCAAAGTATAAAAGATTGCTTACCAACATTTTCTCAAACATCTTGTTAAAGTCTTCAGTAGGTAAATGTTTGATACGTTCAAGTWCTTCTCCCAGTTCTTGGCATCCTTCGCCATCTTCTTCTTTAGTACTTSCAACTCGCTCCTTGTGCTTATGACCGCCATTATACTTATCTTTCTTGGATTTTGTTGTCCGCATGGATGCAATTCTACCCATTTTACCAAGCTACAAACAAAACATGACATTCATTAGGACTTCCAGAAATGATAAATGACAACAGCCAGGATATAAAGTTATGTAGCCTGTGATTGCCAAATTGCCAATAGTAATACTTACRAGAGAACCACTGGGGTTGTTCTTATCTCCGCTTTTATCATTCATTTTTGCCAAGTTAGCCTCACTRTTACCGATATTACAGCTAGACTAACTCATTGAGATTTTCCCAAGTATCCTGGTTTTTGATAATCTCTTTTTTTAGGCAGCAAAATCGAAGGAAAGGAAAATATTCTGTACAAATACAAATCATTCGCAATCCGCCTTACATTGCGCATGAGCAGTATGGATATCTCTATTTTTATTTTGCATCCCACAAGTCAATGCGACCTTACCTTTTCGTTTGTTGCTGTTGTGGTTTTTACTCATTTTCTTTCTCACTATTTCATTTTTAAGTATTATTGCTATATTGATCATATAATTAACAACTGTAATTACAAATTATTTTGAGAATGAATAAATTKCTGACAATGCATTTCAATGATGAAGCTTTATGAATTCCCTTGATTTAGATATCATTTTTTAATAACCAACTAACAAATAGATCAGGCTTAGCTATGTTTTGTTCTCTGATAAAACACGACTGGAGCTATTTATTTCTTCAAATACTTTTAATAGCCAATGATATTTACATATTTCATTGCTTTTAGACATTCGTCAGACATGTCACAGCACATTACTAGGGCTGCAGGRGGAATTACCATATCGAAAGTAAAACCAGCAAATCGCGAGTAAATTTTTCTATCGTATAATAAAAAGGGTTATACGAAAGACTGAGTTGAGAATCGAGTCTTTTAAAAGTGATGAGATAGAGTTTCAGTTAAACGTTGTAAAAGTTGACAAATATTAAATGGTATTCAATAGTTAATCAGTTTCAATCAAGTAGTTCTAAATATTGTTGTCAGCCAGGACATTTGTATGTAATTTAACATTGAAAATTGAAGGTGTTGTCCAAAGCAATGAACGAAGCGAAGATATATGTAATCTCCTTGAAGCCAAATGTGTCTGTGTAAACATTAGGAYAGCCCCGTAAAACCATTAGCTTAACTAACTGATTATATTCGTTCTCACCTTGGTTTTGGATGTTTTCGGGCCAGATGAAGGACCTTTTTGAGAGCTCATATTGACAAATAACCTCCAAGCAAAACAAAAATCACTAAAAGGCTTTCCTGACTATAGCAAGTAAATACATCAATCCCGAGGCAAGATTCTTGTAGTATTCCGCCATTTTCCTATTATGGGTTGATATTCTGACATGTCGACAGTCGTARTGTGCCAACGTATTCAAGTGGTTTACCCATCATAAATTAATCATTAGCTGGTTATCAGCGTGTCACGGCTTTTGCGTGACAAAAGAAAAATTGATAAAGTCTGCTTTCGCTGTCGTTTTCCCCAACAAGTGAAAACCTTTTAAGTAAAAACTTTTTAGTTAAAACTACTGCAAAGCATTGATCGATACCGTGACGTTTACAGGTTTCTTGTGCGCATGAACTAGATAAATTAAAGGACTAGATTGTTTTGGGCGGCCGCACATGTTTATCCCACATATACATGCATACATACGCGCATAMATAAATACATGAACTATATTCTACATACATTTGATATTGCTGCTGAAAATATCAGTTTCTGGTATTTCTAGTATATGGACATGTGGACATGTATAAGAAAGGTTTATTGTAGTCCCACATTGAAAAGATGGTAAGTTGACTATGAAATAATTGTGTGGCAAATATAAAGCAAGCATTGATTATCATTCACTTTTAAATTTCTCAAGACTAGTGGGAATTCCTCGAAAGAAGAAATCCCACATTAACGAAAAAAAAGACAAGCAAAAGATGAGCAACATGACATTGTATTTTGTATTGATTTGCCTTCAGTCGAATTCTCCTGACCGTTTGTCGATTCTTAGAGCAGGAAGGGGAGGATTTCATTTTCTACCGAGGTTTTGCGTCTCTTGCATTGATTTGATTAATGCCGACAAATATGCCGATCGATAATCTCCAGGGCAAGTCTCGTGCATGGAATAGGACGTTTGCATGATGGCGTCATTTGACTACCTCTACCATAAAATATCAGAGATGGTATCCCATAATTTCTAATATACTTCTAATATACTTTTGTGTATATACAAAAGGATCAGAATTTCTGCATATCGCTGTGTATATATATATATACACCGAACTGAAAAAAACGTTGTCGGSTTCAAAAAAAGGTAATATAATCAAAGCTAAGACCGAAGGGGAGCATGGGAAGACAAACAATTATGCTAATTTCATGCGTATTGCAGTTTTCGGTTCCTGTGCATATTTTATGCATCATGGCTTTGGCATGTTGTTAATCTAGGTCGACAGACTTTGATTTTTACGTGCAAATATGTTGGATGTTTTGAACGATCATTTACCATTTAAAGAGAAACGTGTCAAAAGAAAATTCCAACCCCCTTGGATGAACAAAGATATTCTGCATTGTATRAAGAAACGTGATTGCCTATTAAAGAGGACCCGGAAATTCGATTCACCAGATCTTTGGTCCAAGTTTAAATATTTTAAGTGCAGAACTATCAATCTCATCGAAAAGGCAAAAAGATACTTTTTCTCAACGACCATCRATGAAAATAGAGGCAACCCACGCGGAATTTGGAAGTGTTTAAAAACATTAAACGGCACTGGTAAAKCTCCAACAAGGATTCAAGAACTCTACTCCGACTCTGGTAAAGTCTGCAATTCCGCTTTAATTGCAGAAACTTTGAATACATATTTTACAAATATCACCACGAACATCGGTGGGAACAACATCACGGACATCCAAAACAGTTCTCATAATGACAAACTTTTGACGTTTGTTAAATCACGCCTTGGAGACAGTGTACCCTTTATCATTCCAAAAATTACTGCCGATGACGTCATCGAACTCATTCAAAAGATTCCTGTTAATAAAGCTACGGGTTCTGACGGAATCAGCGCTAAAATTCTGAAGTCAATTGCTCCATCGTTAATAAACGTTATTACTGAGATCTTCAACGTATCAATTAGTACGAATAGCTTTCCCTCCAAATGGAAAACGGCCTTGGTGATACCAATGTTTAAGACTGGACAACGAAGTGAATGCTGCAATTATCGTCCCATCTCACTCTTACCTATCATCTCAAAAGTTTTTGAAAAACATGTTGCAAAATCACTGTGGTCCTACCTTCAATCCAACAACCTCATTTACAGATTCCAGTCTGGTTTTAGACCTAACCACTCCACCGAACCAGCATTAATAAAGTTAACAGACCAGATCTTATTTAATTTGGATGACGACAAGTTGTCCGGACTCATATTCATAGACTTCAAAAAGGCGTTTGGCATGGTCAACCACGAAGTCCTACTTCAAAAACTCRACCTGTACCTTCCCAACTCACCATCACTGGCATGGTTTAAGTCTTACCTCGTAGGAAGAAATCAACGTTTAAAGGTTAACGATTACACATCCTCTCTATTACCAATACAACATGGCGTTCCACAGGGCTCMATTTTGGGCCCGATTTTGTTCCTTGTATTTATTAATGACCTGCCACTTCATGTCCAAAGCTCCACTGCTGATATATACGCGGATGATGTTACGTTGTCGTTAAGTAAAAAATGGAACAATCTTACATCTCTCTCTGCAACGCTTCAAGACGATGTCGACATTATCCTTTTTTGGTGCAGTCAAAATAAAATGATAATCAACGAAACTAAAACCAAATCAATGCTGGTAACAGGAAAACGTCTACCGAAACGCCTCACCAACAATAACAATGACCTCAATATTGCCATCAATAATTGTGATGTCAAACAAGTAAACAACCATAAAGTTCTGGGTGTTACACTTGACTCTAAATTGACTTTCGAAGACCATGTTGATAATCTATGTAAGAATCTTTCAAAGAAAACTGGACTTTTTCGACACATCAGTCCCTACTTAAATAAASCACAGAAGGAAACATATTACAACACGGTCATCAAACCTGCTATCATGTATTGCTCTACTATTTGGTCATCATGTAACAGTAGCTCTATAAATAGGGTTATGAAACTCCAAAAAAGGGCGGCAAGAATTATCTTGAATGTAGATAAATATTCCCGTTCTATTGACTTGTTCAACGAGCTAAGATG